GACACAATACTGGCAGAGTACAGCATGACACAATACTGGCAGAGTACAGCATGACACAATACTGGCAGAGTACAGCATGACACAATACTGGCAGAGTACAGCATGACACAATACTGGCAGAGTTCAGCATGACACAATACTGGCAGAGTACAGCATGACAATACTGGTAGAGTACAGCATGACACAATACTGGCAGAGTACAGCATGACACAATACTGGCAGAGTACAGCATGACACAATACTGGCAGAGTACAGCATGACACAATACTGGCAGAGTACATCTTGACACAATACTGGCAGATTACAGACTGACAGAGTACAGGGAGAGTCTAAGATGATGTAGTATGGTACAGCATGACACAATGCAGGCCAAGTACAGCATGACAATACAGGGATAGTGCACGATAATTACATATAGAATACAGCATGACACAGTACAAATACAGAGTTTATGATGATGTAGTACAGATAGGGCACAGCATGACAGACCATGGCACAGTACAATCTGGACACAGTACCATCTGGACACAGTACCATCTGGACAACGTACCGTCTGGACAACGTACCGTCTGGACACAGTACCATCTGGACACAGTACCATCTGGACACAGTACCATCTGGACAACGTACCGTCTGGACAACGTACCGTCTGGACAACATACCGTCTGGACACAGTACCGTCTGGACACCGTACCGAACCGTCTGGACACCGTACCATCTGGACACAGTACCATCTGGACACCGTACTGTACCATCAGGACACCATACCATCTGGACAACGTACCATCTGGGCAGTGTCAGGGCAAAGCATGAAGCAGTTCAGACATATCATGACACACTAATACAAGTCCCTTATTCTCGAAATGTTCGTAGCCCTAAGAAATCTTAACTTTGATCATAGCTAATGTGTTAAGAACGGGCTTAAGAAGTTTGTAGGGCTACAAACGTTTCGAGAATAGCTAGCCTGGTCATGACACAGTTTAAACAGTGTACAGTAGGACAGAGTTACGAGAGGGCAGAGCATGACACAGTTCAGACATGGCATGACATTGTATACAGATCATGACAGTACCCACAGAGCTGGACATGACATAATACACATAGAGCAGAGCATAGTAGCACTGACAGCTTGCTGCAGCTAAAACAGACTACACTTCTCTGAATTAACAAATGGAAACAGAAGCACAAGGTTCTGAAGCTCACTTGCTTCATGAATAAAAGATTTATGACACTTTAACTGTCATTTGGTACAAACAGTTTTGTTGAGTTAAAAGAATCAGTTCACAAAAATGAAGAAAAAGTAAAAAAGTACTTCTGCAACACTGTTTAGGAAATCATTAAGTGAAAACATTGAAGCCTTTATGAAACTTTAAGGTGATTCTCCACTCTTTACATTCATACAAAGTTTAAGACCTGAGCATTTCATACAGATACTATTTTAATGGAATTTGAATATTATTTGAAAGATAACAACAATAAAATCACACTGATTTGAACAAATCTTCACAAAGAGAAACCAAATGCCAAATATCAACTTAAGTCTAGCAGCATCAAAGAAGACAATTTCAGAGCAGGTTAAAAGTACAAATGTTGCAACGTGATGTAACTTCTAAGCGGTCGGTCACAAGAAAGAGATGACTCTTTGATGTGATGTAAGTCCCAAGGTGCCCTGACAGTCAAAGAAATGACTTTGACCATTCAAGGGATAATTGACACACTAATGAAATTGGCGAAAATGCTTTGCCGACATCCCTTGACAATTTTGGTTGGAGTGATCTTGTTGAAACTTTGCCTGGACCATCTTACCAACAGCCTCAATATTGCTCAAAGCTTTTCTTTCTGAGCTAAGGGTTGGTTTCCAAGGTGAAACACCTACTTTCAGGCATTGCATCCCAAGAGTTAATGCCATTACGACAATTGTCAATATGTCATGGCCCAAAATGTTATTTTGTTATGTCATTTATAAAATGGAATAAGAATTCTGTAACTTGTTTAAACACGGTAGCTGGACTCATTCTGTTTCATAGGACTTTGGAGGTGATGTTAAAATGACGATGTTAACATGGGCACAAAACAACTGAAAACTAGCTGAACAAACTTTCAGTTAGGTGAACTAAAGGCTTAATCTATCATGAACTTCAGAAAATGAGTGAGTGAGTGAGTGAGTTTAGTTTGAACGCACACTCAGCAATATTCCAGCTATATGGCGGCGGTCTGTTAATAATCGAGTCTGGACCAGATAATCCAGTGATCAACAGCATGAGTATCGATCTGTGCAATTGAGAACCGATGACATGTGTCAACCAAGTCAGCAAGCCTGGCCACCCAATCCCATTAGTCGCCTCTTACAACAAGCATGGGTTACTGAAGATCGATATTCTGGCCTGGAACTTCACGGGTACTTCAGAAAATGTCTGTCATTTGCATTTAATAGGAAGATTTTTTATAGTGAAGTCCAATTCCTAAAACTATTCATAATACATGACGTGTTAAACAGATATATAATTGTAATGTATTAAATCACCTAAATATTTAATCATAACATTCTCATGTAAACCAACACATTCAATTATTGTCGCTATTGAAACAATGTTTAATCTAAATGCCACAAGACAATATTATAATGTGTTTACAGTTGGATTCAGAGGATTATGGTTTGTTTACATTGCCACTTAGACACCTCGCATCAAGTCATAGCTTGCATGGCATTTAGACTCAGACATGGCATTTAGATTCAACAATGCTTCAATGGAAATAGTATCACTGGAAAATACTGAATGTCAGATGTTATGGTGCTTAATACTTAAAACTATAGCAACTCTAGGAAAATCTATGTTAATATTTCATAACTATAACACATTGTCTTCTGTACATGTCTGGTGAGGTGAGGTGAAATGGGGTTTAACGTCGTACTTCAGAATATTTCGCTCATATGACGACGTGCATGTGTGTGTATGTGCGGCTGCTTGTACTAGCCCAGACTTAAGCTGGTTCTATAGTGCTAGCCCACTGAGATACCATGCCGCAGTGAAGCATGAAAACCCCGACTTGTCCTTGTTGTACCCATTAATGCCGAGTGCCAGGCAGGGACCAAAATGTACCATATTTTAACGTCTTTTGGTATGAAGCGGCTGGGTATCGAACCCAAGACCTTCCGCTTTCCAGTCAGATGCTCTAACCACGACACCACTGAGGAGGTCATATATGTCTGGAGACAACTAATAAACAGGAACATGGAGGATCTAGTTTTTTACACCATTTTGAACATGTTGTCAGCTTATTATGTAAAAGGAATGAAAAAACAAAGTGATCAAAGTGTAACAGTATGTGAGTGAGTGAGTTTAGTTTTACGCCGCACTCAGCAATATTCCAGCTGTATGGCGTCAGTCTGTAAATAATTGAGTCTGGACCAGACGATCCAGTGATCAGCAGCATGAGCATCGATCTGCGCAATTGGGAACTGATGACATGTGGCAACTAAGTCAGTGAGCCAGACCCCCCGATCCCGTTAGTTGCCTCTTACGACAAGTATAGTCATCTTTTGTGGCAAGCATGGGTTGCTGAAGACCTATTCTACCCCCGGATCTTCACGGGTCAGGTGTAACAGTCACGTAAGTTTCATAATGTAATTGCTACCACTGATCTTCCGATCTAAGGTCGGACACCCTGTCCCCATGACCAAATTGGTTAACACTGTCAGCAAGGTAACATGGTAAGGATGTCACACAGTTCATAAATGTTGTTAACATTGGTGAAACCCATGGACAAGATTCTGGTGCTGAGAAACCAGGGATTATAATCAGAGTTGTTTCCGAGACTCAAACCCAGAGTCAGCAGATCCTGACACAACTAGGGCATGCAACTCTACAGTGATTTACAGTGCCATACAACACTGCTCCCCTTGGAATATACAGAAACACTGAAACTCACTGTGGTATTTCAAAAAGAAAATGGTGGCCACTGCATGTAGACATATGACCAAGAAGCTTTTTTACACAAGAGTTTTATGTGAGGTGAGATGACATGGGTTTTAATGTCGTGGCTGCTTGTCTTGGTCCAAACTAATGATCAAGTCCACTGAGATCCCATGCTACAGTTTAACACTGATACCCACTTCAACATATTATACTGACTCCAAGCTGATTAGTCTCTGATTCATACTCCAAATGATGTGTGCAGGTTGGGTACTATCTCTGAGTGAGTGAGTGAGTGAAAGAGTGAATTTGGTTCTACACTGCGTTTAACAATAATCATGGCAGGGGTCACCAGAAATGGGTTTCACCCACTGCACCCATGTGGGAACCAAACCAGGATCTTCAGGGAACAGAACACTTTAACCACTAGGCCATGACACCGTGTTGTCATCTATTGAAATATTTTAGATCATATTTAATATGATGCAACCACAACCCTATCCCTTACACTACTGAGGGGGTGACATGCTTTCCAGATGAAGACAATCTTTAGCAAATAATCATTCAAAAGTGTTCTAAAAGATTAATTTCATACATCTTGCACAACCAAAATGATCAGCGGATTTTGAGTCCATGATTCCGACTGTAATCGCAGTTTCAAGCAGACACAGGGTATTTTTATATTCAGCTGTAAATCAATGCCTCCAGCTAGGAGGATTGAATTACAACTACTGTTATATTAACATTCGAGAACGATCCTGCTTTGACATTTCAACAAACCTCCATCATGTACAAGTAATGATATAAAGTGTCACTTCTTAGCCAGTTGGGGCACCAACTGATTTAGACAGGCACAGAAAACACAGGCACCAAACACCAACAATAGTTGTCATCACCTCTTTGGATGAACATTTACTAAGATCATATACACATATCCTATAGAAGAGCATGCTATGATAGAAAGATACAAGTACGTATTTACATGCCCTTACAACGCTCCAACCTCAGAGTAACTTAGATAGCGAATGAGATCGTCATGCTCTGATAGCTCCATAACCTGCCCAAAGTATAATACAAGGTACAAACCATTGACTACATTCGAGTCAGCGTTTTCATCTTTCTTCCTGCGTTTGGCTGCAGCTTTCTTCTTCTTCCTCTCCTCTGTCCCTTTAGCCGTGCTGGCCGAGTGGTCACTCAGGCCAGAGGTAGATTTCTTCAGCCCATGAGTAATACAGTCGGTTTCGTCACAACTGCTGTCGTAACCGCTCGCTCGTTGTGACTTGGGCTCTGTCGGGGACTTCTGGGTGAAGCCACAGCATAGGGCCAGCAAACTTTTTGTGGAGAAGTCGAATCCCGAGAGTTTGTTACCAAACATGGACACCACAGCTTTAACCCTCCTCCAGCACTACATCCAACACCATCTCCTCATATCAATACTCCTGCTCGTCATGAGTGGCAGGCTATTCACAAGAAGCTATTGCGTTGGCAATGGTTGCAGCATACACAGGCAATATATGTTAATCCGTGGAGATGGGAATGTAAAATTTCTCCTTCAACCTACACTGTGAATCAATGGCAGTAATCCAATACTGTACACTCAGTAAGAAATAACATGAAGTCCTCACATCAACATCACACACTAAGACGTCCGTCACATAGATGAACTCTTATCATCTCCCCAGGAAAACTTTAACAGAAAGATTCCTCCTCGTCGTGCAAGCATCCATCAGAAAGACTGTGCTTGTGTTGTCCTACCCGTGACACATCTGATCAAGAAGCACTGTCACAGAAAAACCCATCCCCTCTTGCACTCCATCTCACCATGTCAAAAACCAGCCACACAAACTAGACTTGAGCTATCGCATGGTCTGCTAAACGACCTGTAAACACTGGCGATATTGATTTGCCAAGGGAGGTAATCTCATCTACATGCTGCTCACAGCAGGTGAATTGTGACACTATAATACTCATCAGTCTGTTGCGGCAGAAAATAAATCAATGATACATGCAAATACAGCAATCCTTAATTCAATTCCTGGGACATGGTGTCATCTCCAGTACTGCATATTAATATTTCAGATAATGGTTCAGATTGGGAAGCAGTCGACCCTGTTACATCACTGTGCTGCGACACAATTACAATTATGGCTGTTCTTACAAGAATTCATAGGAAAATCATAGACAGTATTGCATTTTAATATTTAATACATCTCAATATTGTAATATTGGTGATTCCAGTTTTCTCTACCATTATCTCTTACCCATTCTCCTATCCTTACCAGATCACTACATTAATACATATAGATTTTACTGCTTATCTCAAATTCAAGCCATAAACACTAAGGGCTATCTCAAACGTCCAACCCAGTCTGAAATTTCACTTAAGTATAAAAATTGATGTGTTGTGTTTTCTAACTTCACGTATATGCAATTGTACTGGCTGCAGATCTATACTACTGTCATTTGATCAGTCTGAATGTCAGTGTCTCATCATGTTAAATTTCCAGACATCTAGAGTTCCAACACAGTTCTGCTATATTTGAGAGGACAGGATTCATCTGTGAGTGAGTGAGAGAGTCAGTGAGTTTAGTTTTACGCTGCACTCAGCAGTATTCAAGCTATATGGCGGCTGTCTGTAAATAATTGAGTCTGGACCAGACAATCCAGTGATCAACAGCATGAGCATCAATCAAAACAATTGGGAACCGATGACATGTATCAATCAAGTCAGCAAGCCTGACCATCCGATCCCATTAAGTCACCTCTTACGACAAGCATGGGTTACTGAAAACCAATTGCAACTCGGATCTTCACAGATAAGTGCTTACTTCAGTATCTTAATTCAACATCTTGACATCACTACAGTTCCTCTCTTTGCATCCCTCCCTCATAACAAAACGTGAACTGTGGCTATATTTTAATGAGAGTTTGATAAACAACTTTCTTATTTTTAGGACATAAATTCTGCAAAAAATTCACAGAGTTGGTCTAATGTTTTGATTATGAGTATTATATGTTTATCAGTTTTCGAGTTAGATGCAATTCATCGGTCCGCTTTTGAGCCAAACGGACTGTAGTACCCTTTCTCTTTAAACATATTCTCAACAAACACGTTAACTTAAGGCTGAGGCTGTGTTCAGGTTTGTGATTCAATTCAATGTTTAAGTGGGCGAAAAAAAAACCATCTTGAACTCTCTGACCTTCTCAAGTCAGATATATTATTGATTCAACACATTTACTTGTGACGTCTGCTTTTTGCTACGATTTGTAGTGACAGACCACGAGGTTAAAATGGTGACAGGACTGCAGAACTTCTGCAGTTTTCTGCAGTATGTGATGCTGTGTTATTTCACAGGTATACTGTTTCCATGGCGGTGTACAGTAGGGGATGGGTGGAGGGAGGAGTAATCAAGTTACAGAACTACTGCTCAAACATTACTCACTGAAAGACAGCGGCAATTAGATACTTCCACTGTTTCTCCACTCAATCCATACATGCTGCTGCGACCAGCTAATACTTGTCAATAATTAACATACACAGCTTTGTATGAGACAGCCTTACTGCATAGCAGTTGACCGACCCTCTGTGCTGCGGAGTTTGTTTAACACACCTTTAACAGTTTTGTTTTATATCATGGTGTGTCATCCCCCCAAAAGTTGTTTAACAAACCTTCATAGATTCAAATTGCTATTATTGGTTTGTATTACAAGGGGGCAAGCTTAGTAGATGGAACAGTGAAACAAATGCACGTGCAGTACGTGATGAGCGTTAACTTAGACCAACTCTACTTGTTCTCGGTGTTTCATTTAATGTGCATACCCCCTTGTAATACAAACCAATAATAGCGATTTGAATCTATGATCGTTTGTTAAACAACTTTTATCCTAAGTTGAATAAAATTCTGAGATTTAAATGTTCAATTGGCAAGATAAAATTATGAGAATTCGCAATCTTAAGTTCACTTTATTTGATTTACTTCTTTGTTTAAAGTGAAATTCACCGGTACGTTTTCACTACAAACAGACTATAGGAGGAAAGCTTCAAGTGAAGTTTACCATCAGTAATTACCCAAAGCTTGGAATGAGTGCAGGTTTCTGATACATCCAAGGGAAGCAACTCTGGACATCTTATTGTGTCACCTTGGATGATTGACCCACATGTGTCCATGTGTTTCACTGACAGGATGAATAGCTTGCATTTACACAGAACAGTTGTAAGTATGAGGGAAAACAGGGCAGTATTGTAGCAATAGTATTCATCACATTCACTGTTTCTAATAAATCATTCAATATTCGTCTCATTCAGTAGAGTATAGTATTCATCACATTCACTATTGCTGATAAAGTATTCATCTCATTAAGTTTTGTGGGAACAGTATTCAACAGATTCACTATTGCTGATAAAGTATTCATCTCATTCACTATTGTTGGCACATTATTCTTCACATTCAGTACTGTTAATACAGCATTCATCACTTTCAGTATTGTTAATACAGTATTCATCACATTCAGTACTGTTAATACAGCATTCATCACTTTCAGTATTGTTAATACAGTATTCATCACATCCAGCACTGTTAATACAGCATTCATCACTTTCAGTATTGTTAATACAGTATTCATCACATTCAGTACTGTTAATACAGTATTCATCACTTTCAATATTGTTAATACAGCATTCATCACATTCAGTATTGTTAATACAGTATTCATCACTTTCAGTATTGTTAATACAGCATACATAAAATTCAGTACTGTTAATACAGTATTCATCATACTGTATTTATCACATTCAGTATTGAGTACAGTATTCATTAGGTGCTTAAACTGTTCACAATTAAATTCTAAAACTAAGTAAATAAACATTTATGTAAAAGAAATATTTAAAACCTAATCATTATTTGTTTTCTTTGTGTTTCAATATCAATAGTACTATGTTAACAAATTCATTTAATAGATAAGCATCCTGGATTTAATCCGCACAAAACATACTGAACATTCTCATGATGTTGAGCCAAATGAAATTCTACCATTCTTTTCGAAAGGCCTGCCAAGCTTTATCCACACTGGCTCAGATATAATTGAATGTTCAGAGAAGCAGAACTCATATCCCCTCCTGGCGCCTTTCAAAACCAGCGAAAAACTAAGCTTCCCTTTGAGATGGTCAAATTAATCAATGTGGTCATTTCAGAAGGGACTGTAAGGCATAAATATCATGAATGATATGTCATCATAGATATGCATGATTTGGGCACGGCGCACAAATTGTCTGGCAACAGCCAATATTTTTTTATTCGGGTAAACAAATCAATACCAGCAAGAGAGTTCTGAAAACAATGATTAAATTTATTCCATTTCAATATCACTGAGGTAATTATTGGAAATATAATCATATTTTTTTTAATTTTGTGTGGAGGCAGTTGTAAATGAAAATATTTTTATTTTCCATTTCCTCCATATTGCATAACAGGCTGATGTACTCTGCAGTCAGTTGGAAATATGGGATCTGGGCCCCGTTCCTCAAAGCGATCGTAGCGCTAAGGTGATCGTAACTCCCATACTTTAACATAGACTTATGACTGTCGTAGTGCTACGATCGCTTTGAGGAATGGGCCCCAGGTCTTCCTGACGGAATCATACCTTCATTACAGGGGGCAGGTCTTCATAACAGGGGGCAGGTCTTCATGACAGGATCAGGTCTTCATGATAGGGGGCAGGTCTTCATGACAGGGGGCAGGTCTTCATGATAGGGGGCAGGTCTTCATGACTGGATAAGGTCTTCAGGATAGGGGGGCAGGTCTTCAGGATGGGATCAGGTCTTCATAACAGGGGGCAGGTCTTCAGGACAGGATCAGGTCTTCATGATGGCATCAGGTTTTCATGATGAAATCAGGTCTTCATGACGGCATCAGGTCTTCAGAACAGGTTCAGGTCTGCATGATGACATCATGTCTTCATGATAGATCAGGTCTGCATGATGGGATCAGGTCTTCAGGACGAAATCAGGTCTGCATAACGGCATCAAGTCTTCAGGATGGGATTAGGTCTTCTGGATGGCATCAGGTCTTCTGGATTGGATCAGGTCTTCATGATGGGATCAGGTCTTTCTATGGGATCATGTCCCCCATGTTAAATCATATTGTAACAGTCTGTTTATGTAGGAGAATCACTATGATGTGACTCTCTGTTTTACCTAATGAACATATTGTAGCATTGTGTCTAAACTTTTGTTAAACATGGTAGTCTGCAACTTCCAGCTACTGATATCAATCTGTGAGTTGGTGTGAATCGGTTCCCACACTATTTTGCTGAGAATGAAATAATTATGACCGAGGTAACAAAATCGATCCTAAAGACTTCAACACAGGTACTTTGTAATTACACAAATGAATGGAAAGAAGACTAGCCACAATTTCTGTAACATTTTTGTGTTCATGCAAGAAAAGGCTTGGTGCTAATAATCATTACTTGGACAGTGGCAAAAATGTTAGTTTGTTAAGCTTAATGGATTACGGTGCTTTAAAAAGTGAATATGGTATCCCACTTATGATAAGGTTTTTATTGACCTTGGCCTTGACCTTGAGGTTATCAATGGTCTTTCCCAAATAATCTTGATAACATCACATATACCATGTCTTTTTGAATGAAAAATACTCAGACTAATGTGCACACAAGTCAAGGTCAGTCCAAGTAACCTTGACCTTCAATGTCATCCAATCATATCTCAGAAAAGTTATAGGACGTATATAAGACATGAAGTTTCTGACACCTGCCATGAGCCTGTGGTTGGCGAACGAGCTAAAGGTGAGCAAAAAGCAAAACAAAATCATTCATTATTTGTATTCATTTATCTCGAGATGCATTTTATACAATTTATTTCTATTTTTGTCTAGT